CATTACGCACTAAATCCTCGTATCATTTGAATTAATATTGATTCCTTCCATGACATTTTTTATTTTTCATATTATTTCATGTAGAAGCAAAGAGGTGTATCATCAGCTTTATACCATATTCATACCGTCTTTCATCTTGAAATGAATGTGTCCTTATAATAAATATGAATCATTTTGCTTACTACTGTCGAACAATTTAAAAGATTAAATATCCATCATTCATTAGTAATTGTTGTTAAAATTAATATTATTGTATCTATTTTTGATATAACTGCAGTAGTATAATTAATAACATTGCTTTCACTTCAATTCACTAGTCCATTAAAATTCGTTTCATTATAAAATCTCCTGTTAGTAATATTTTCAAATTTGTTGTTTGCGTTCAACAAATAAAATTTTGTTTCAATTCCCATGCTTTTTAACAATTTTACATATTCAAAGACCACACACACATCACGAAACGAAAATCATAATTCGAGAAAACTACCGACACTTTACGATTAACAATACAAAACATAATTTGAACACTTTGGCATATTGTACTTGAACTAATTTAACAACTCATTTTTAGATTTATTTACGCTCAACAAGAAACTCATGAACAAATAAAAATCAATACGTTCATACAGTAGCACATAAAATTAAACGATTCAATAATTAATTATCTATGAGGAAATATTTGTCGCTCGCAAACCATTTTCGAGAAAAAGTTATGCTTTTTATGTGGTGGTCTGCCTTGCAAAATTCTATCAAATCGATATACAATATTATTCAAATTTAACATTTGAATAAATTTTACTGGTTAATATATTTCAGGTTTTGTTTTCCATACAACTTTTCAGTTTCTTTTATATGTGTAATTTAACATTTTGGGTACATGATTTGTCGCCTCCTCAAAAATTACATTTCACTTAAAATCGTTAATTGTTACTCTCATAAAACTCGAACATTATGGATTAACAAATTGCATATGAAGTTTTGAAACGAAAATCGCGCTTCTGATAAAAACATTTGCAAATTTTTGTTATTTAATTATAGTTCTATATTGCTGTAATTATTGCTGTGATATATTTATAATTGAAGTATTTATTTCAGGAATGTACTAATTAATTATTGTTATTCTGCAAGATATGATGTTCCGAATTATTACTGTTCCAATTAATTCATTTACGAAGTATAACTCATATTTATTTTTACACTAACATGCTTTGTTACAAAGAAACATTCTCTAGACATGTTTTTGTTTGCGTTTTGCGTATTAATTACTAGTGTGTTTTGTTTCCACTGAAGAAGAGTCAAATTGGAACTCGAAACGTATGGATCTAATAAATGTATTTTAAGAAACATATCTTAGTTTTCTTTCTATTCATTATCTGAATAGATGACTGTTAAAAAGTTTGTGTTATCTATAAATTAATTTCTTGAAGGGCGTAACATCAAGCATAGAGCGGTGTTAGGTATTCGATACATACAAATTGGGAAACATTATTTGAAACATATTGGTAATTTTCGTAGAGAAAGGGAGTATCAGTTCGCTTATTAATACTAAGTTTGGCTAAGAAAATAAAAGTCGATTCCGCATAGCGTCTTTGTGAGACTTTCGACTCATGATAAAGAAACCTTTGCGTCAAAAAATTGAACGTATGGTTGTTATGTTTTAAATGTCTGCGATCATCGTTTGTCGTGTTGTTTCAAACGTTTAAAAAGTTTTAGTCCTGTTTCGCCAATATATCATATATAAATAGCAATCTCTAATCTCTCTAATAATAATAATCTCTAATCTCGACAACAGAATTATATTTGCAATTCCTGCGATTTGCTCTACCAATATTCGTAAATTTGAATGTAGAAATGCGGGCAGAAAAATCAAAATTTATATGATCAGATGATATTCACAGCAAATATGGGACAATTTTGGAATGTTTCATTCAACCGATATATTTGGAACTTTCAAACGAAGAGTTGAATACGATAGAAAATATTTCGAATGCCAAACAGCAAAAGGTATTAAGCGTAGATGTAAACGATTTGCAAATGCATTTACCTTCATTAGAAATATATGCTAGAGGAATGATTCCAAATATAATTCGGTTGAAAAGAGAAACTGAAAGATTAGATGAGGATGAGTTTAATATTGAGGCAGCAAACCAAATAAATTATCAATGGACATGTTTGAAGGTTTTGATGAATTTGAAATTGAGGAAGTGTGCCTTCATTCAGCATTAAGGCATGGTGATAGCATTTTATGTGTGAGTTTAAATATTTAATAAAGTAGACAATATATATATATATATATATATATATATATATATATATATATATGTATATATATCATAGTGTCAATTTCTGCTATAGCAGTAATCCGAGAACTTTCTTTTAAATTATAATTTAAAAAAAAACACTGGTCTGGTATAGGTAAACTCATTTTCTTTGCTATAGAAAAAAGCAGATCCTCTATCCATACTGTTTCTCCTTGGGCCAGTTAAGAATTCAATAAAAACTAATCAATCCTGGTCGTGCTAATTCAAAAAGCTTTTAAATTTTTGAAATCGGTTCAGCATTTATTGACAAAACATCGACAAAAGCTCAAAAAATGGCTCACAAACATACTTATTCCAAAACTTGTCTCAAACGATTACTATCGAGTGAAACTTCTTAGGCGACTTTAAACAAGGTTGCTTTAAATGTTCAATGCAAAGTGAGCTAATATTTGAATAATGATTGTTTTAGAATGCCATAGATTAGGAATGTTGAATTTTGTTTTAGATTTTTTTTAGAATGTAAAATGTTTTTCAAATGTTATGGATTATTCCATAATTTGTAGAATATTTATTAGAACATTGTAAACTGTTTGAAAGTGTTGCATAGTCTTTGAAGGTCTTGCAGACTGCCCGTAAGCATTGCGATCTCATTTTCACATTACGAAGTTTCTCTTCTTTTGCAGAGTATCACTTCTATTATTTTTATTGTTTTTTTTTTTTGTAGGAAGATGAAGGATTTCCTTCGCTCCTCTCAAAAAATAAAAAACATAGAAGCTTTAAAATTGAGTTTTGTCAGTTCTTCAAAAATGTCATAAATAGGGGTGGAAAAGAAATAATTTATGATGATTTTTTATACAAAATCTGACCTCAATCTTGAAACATTTGTCAAGATTGGGTCAGAAAAATATACGATACACGAGAACAGTGGCAGGTAAATTGTATTCGTGAGAATGATTTTTATACGTAGACTCTTCTATGGATTTTTAGATATTTTTAGATATCTATATATTTTACACATTTCTAGACAATTTCAAAAATATGTAGCCATTTATAGATATTTTTTTTAAATTTTTGTACATTTTTAACCCTTGCCAGTAGGCGACATATACATTTATGTATGTATATCTAGACATTTTTGTACATATTAAAATTTTTTAAGTTACATTTAAACATCACTAGACATTAAAAATTAATACATTGGCAAAAGAGTTGAAAAAATATTTTAAAATTACCATTTGAATTACTGATTTTTTATATGTCTATTCAGGCTTGTCCATAACTACAGAGTTGGCAGGGTTACTTCAACAAGCGGCTTCAGAAATGAATCGGTACTCGAAGCTAATTTAGGCCGAAGAAGCGAAGGAGACGAAGCGTGATCTGAGTCGCTTTAAAATCCCTTCACTCAGAAAGGAATAAATTAAATGAAAAGTATAGGGAACTAGAATTGTGTATCAAGTCCCTATACAGGAATATAATTTATAAACGCATGAAGTAAGATATTTTGACATTTATGGTCTAATTCTCGGATAACACAGCTAAGTTTTGTTTGTAGACTCCTGCTTTAACATATCATGTCTTAAATAAGCATATGTTCAGGATTATGTATTCTTGGACCACGTCGTGTAGGAGGCACTCTTTTTTCGATTGAAGTGAATGGGTCCTATTCAGTTTCCTTTTCTTTTCATGATCGTTCTCAGTGAAGTCTTTTATGGACTTATTCTTTTGTTATCTTGTCAGTCCACTTTATTTTCTCCATTCACATGTCTCCTGCGCACCACATTTTAAAACTCTCTAAATAGTTCTTGTCGGCTTTTCTTAGAGTCCGTGTCCCTGATCCGTAAAGAGCTATACTCTAGACATAACATTTTTTTTATCAATATCATCCACAAGTCGAGACTTGGTTGGTTCTCAGTAGTGTTCTCAACTTCGCAAACTCCACCTTGGCGCTTGCGATCTTTGTCCTGATGTTTCTCGTGCTGTATTCGTTTCTGGTCAGAATGCTTCCTAAATATTTGAAATGATCAACGTCTACCAATTTTTGATTTTCTACTGTTATCTTCAGAGTATCATCTCGTTTTGATACTCTCATCACTTCCAATTTGTTGATGCTGATTTCCGTTCCATATCTTCTACCCATTTCGACGATTCTGTCCATCATGTTCTGCAGCTCGGTTTGGTTTTTTGATATTACCACTAGATCAATCATTTTGCCATATAAAATAAAATATGTCACCAGGAATAGCTGTTATACCTACCATAATTCCTTGAACCGCATAAGTTAAAAAATATTTTTTAAACATCAGTTTATTTACAGAGATACTGTACCTGTGACAAGAAGTGTGTGCATATGTGAATTGGGCCGCTGGTTGAGATAACACCCGGGACTGTTTCAAAATGAGTGGAATTTGTGACTTATTGCATATTTCGTCTATGACGAGGTATATATATATATATATATATATATATATATATATATATATAAATGGTAGTTTTTCATCCATGCTTCCTGATCCTGCACTTCGGTTTTCAGTACCCTGTATTTTCTCTTTACCAATCCCTTCAGCCCTTCTATTTTACCATCCACGACGTCGTGCAGGAGGCACTCTTTAGAACAGAACGGGTCCAATCCAGTTTCCTTCTTTCTTCAGGATTCTTGAAAAGGCCGATCTTGAAATGTCAAGAGAACATAAAAATCTCCTCAGGCAGTTACTAATAATGATTTTTTCCATATCTTCACAGGCTGCATCAGTACGAGCAAACGCTTTGAAAGCCTTGATCCCGTTATATGAGGACGATGAACTAGGAAGAAAATTAAAATTGTTCACACATAAATATCAACAAAGACTTCTTAGTTTATCTTGGGACAAGAGCCGATGCAATCAAGCGATTGCAATAAAGCTAGTCACAGCCATGTTCAGGTGAGAGTTCAGAATAAAAATGTTCACTTAATAGACATATGCATGAAACTTTTGATGGTGATAACCCAGTAAACACCCAACGGTAGTAGCAATCTTATATTACAGCTGTTCAAAAAATAATAGTATATTGCCAGCGATAAAGTAAAAAAATACAAGCAATGAATGAATGTATGTTAATTCTAATTGAAGAGTGAAGTTGCAAAAACAATATTTGTGTAGGCGTTGTTTGACATAATCCACTGTCTCAACAAATATAGAAGTTATTAATCAGCAATTTATTAATCTTCATTTCTCTAATGAAGGTTCATTTCTAAATGATAATTACAATGACAAACCGATCATGTCATATTTGAAGTATGACTTTAATTACATTATTGTTTTTAAATATTATAAATATTTTAATGCTATTATAAATATATAATTTATAATTTTTTATTATATAAATGTGTATATATAATGGTTGACGCTATGGGTTGAAGCCCCTTTCTGGGGTATTGCAATGACTGCCGCTTATTATATTTTAGCATTTCCCCATTACGAAAGGTGTACTTCAACTTCTTAACCCAACTTCTACGAATGCCCTGTAATTACCTGCTAAGACTGATATAGCTAATTATCCATTTTTGTCCATTCAGATCCTATCCGTACTTATTCAGTAGGAAAGACTTGAACACGGTTTCAAGTTTGATGTTCTCTCCAAATCGAAAGGTTGCAGTGGCAGCAGGCACATTTTTTCATCATGTCTTTTTAAGATTGGATGAAGATTCAAATGGGGCCGAGTTTGGGGTTCGATGGTTCAGATATGTTTCAACTTCCACCATTGAATTGCAAGTAAGTAAAATATGTATATATGATAGTCATGTGGATGTCGTATAAATATTTTGTTTTGAATCTTTATTCTTTATTTTGATTATTTTTCAGGGTTTAAATTTTATTTCATATCTAGTGGATGCCCTAGTTGCAAACATTGAGATAATAAAAGATTGGAATTCGATGATACATATTTTAACTCAAGAAAATGATGATCCTTTGACCCCAATCCCCCAACCCCAAGAAATTTTAATTGAAATTATGTTTTGGTGTGCAAGTCTTTCAAGTACTGGTGAATATCCAGGGGAGAGAGCAACTGATAATATGGTAATATTGCATTTCAATGATGCATATATAAAACTGAGGTAACTTGACCTATTTTAATGTACTGGCGGGGGGTACTTACGGAAGCGACAAGAATAAGCATTTTCCAGAAATGATCTCAAGTTGCAATATTCGCAACGAACCCGAATATGGTCGATAATTACAAGTACAGGACTCTACTTAATTGATATGCAGCTGCTCTTCTGGTCAATTAAATAAACAAAACGCTCTTGGTCTCCAGACAATTTGATTTTTTTTTGATTTTTGGACGGTGTATGAACTCATGACCAATGGAATAGTTTTGTGGGAATCAGTTTGTTGCTTTTAGTACTACACATCTGTTTCCTTGATGTGATATTATAGCATGATAGTCGTCAAACGTTTAAGGCAATAATTTATAAGTCCAATTAGAAGTACAACATTAACTAAATCTAAACCGATGAAGTAAAAGTACCCTGCCCTGGTTTTAATGTCAGTACATGCAAATGGGTAAAACTATCCAGTTGTTTCTTCTTCTAGTGTGTTGATTATATGTTTAAACATTATTTTTTATTTCTAAATTTCATTAGTTTTCATATTTACAGGTCCCAAGTTTAAAACAAAGAAAACAAATGAAGGAAGAAAAATTAAATATCACAAAACATCTAATGCCTATGATAGCAATTCTGTTGGCTCGCTTCAAAACCAATGTGAATTGTATTATTCATTTGATCAGAATACCTCAATATTTTGACCTCGAAAATATAAGTGAGATGGAAGATCTGGTTAGTATTTTAATTTTTTAATTACTTGTCTTTGTGCTTGAATTGCCACCAGCAGGAGTATATATTTTAACGAGAAATTTTAATTGCATATGGGAATGTTGATGCATCTTGCATTTGTAGTTTTTCTGACTTTTTAATATATACTTACTAGTTTTAATCTAGTGTTTTATGTTTACAGCATTTAAGGAATTTATTGGGCGCTCTGCAAAACATCGCCCAGGAGTGTACCGACACAATAGTGTTAGACAACTGCAGCAAGACTTTGCATTGCCTTTATAAAAGAATAAAGAAAAGGGCAAGAAGCATTGTTGCAGATTGCGATGCCGCCATATCGACCATTGTCGACGAATGCGCATTTGTATATATGGAGCCATATCTTGTATGGCTAAGTATTGTGAATGGGGTACGAATTACATTTTTGTCATGTGTAGAAAGTTGTCAAACAATTCATCTCTTGAACAGAAATAATTTTTCTTTCTAGCAAATGGATCCAAAATATGCTAAGAAAGAGTATTTTCATCGGATTGTAAATTCTCTGAAGAAAATATACATTTTCCACTATTTACATAACATAAATTATTTAAATATATGGGATGATTTTTTAGAAGAATTTAAAGTGTTTAGGAATGGTGTCATTGAAAGAAATCTTCCTATCGAGGTATGTCAATTAGATCAAAGATTAAACATAACTAATTTAACTAATTCATACTACTATCAAAATATATTTTAGGGATCGATATACTGCCTACTTTCCTACGGCACATGTTTATCTTGGAAATTGATGGAAGTAAAAGATATGGATCTAAATAATATGGTACTCAATGCTATGGCTTGTATGAAACAAGCCGATGTATTGAAGTTAAAATTGAAAAAATATATTGAAATCTGCAAGGACATCGTAAAAAATGTCACTCATGATGATCTGCAACAAGCTGTAAGTTGATTTGAAAAAATCAAAATTTTAAAGCAATACTAATTGTAAGGCAAATTTCAATATTGTTTTAAACTATACATGAACTACTTGTCTACCTGTCCACCTGTCTCCAACTTCTTCAACCTTCAACTTGTCAACAGTTTTACCTTGCTGCCTGTTTACTATCCAACCTGTTAACCTGTTAACCTGTTCACAACTCTTCAGTTCGCACGTCTAACTGTCCATCTGATTGCCTGTCTATGTATGAACCTGCTACCTACAAGTCTACTTGAAAACCAATTTAGCTCTATCAGTCTGTTCATCAATGGGAATCAAATGCTTTTTGAATAATTCAAATCCAATAATCGGTGGCTCCGGGGTTGTCCAAAAAAAGTATCCTTATTAAATTGTATTATCAATAAGGTTCATAAATAGTAGATTGGGCTAATTCATACCAAATGATTTTTATTTTGTTCATAATTTTAACCATTTCTGGTAAAAATATTGATTGAAGTAACGCTTACTATGTCCAATCCAAGCCTAATCAAAAATGTATGGGAAAGCGTCATGTCAGGTTTGGACGACATCTTCATTTCTCTAATGAAGGTTTATTTCTAAATGATAATTACAATGACAAACCGATCATGTCATATTTGAAGTATGACTTTAATTACATTATTGTTTTTAAAATATTATAAATATTTTTAATGCTATTATAAATACATAATTTATAATTTTTTATTATATAAATGTGTATAATGGTTGACGCTATGGGTTGAAGCCCCTTTCTGGGGTATTGCAATGACTGCTCCATTATAATGTTTAATAAACAATATTTCATTCCAACTTTCTGAAAAAGAATATGTTTTTATCAGCAAATCCTATTTGCTAATTTTGTGTTCTCAACGTTTCAAGTTATTTTGAACAATTTGCCACTAAATTTTTCAATGTCAACGTTTTTATTGTATTAAAATATTAATCGTGAAGTTCATTTTATCAAGCAAAGATAAGCCCGAAAAGCCATTGAATCACTTGTCGACAATGTTGGAGAAAATTACACTTCATCTTCAAGAAATGAAGGAAAATCAAACTGAAATTTGTATGTTTTCAGTTTCAGACGAAGAGGAGCAATTGGCAGTGATACCATTGAAGAGTCTAAGCGAAATAGAGGAGTTTGAAAAAAGGTTGAAAAATGAAAAATTTGCTTTGGACCTCGTAAGATATATGTATATATATATATATATATATATATATATATATATATATATATATATATATATATATACAGTAGAATCCGCTTAGTATGACATTCAAGGGACGGCGAAAAATCGTCATATTAAGCGGTCGTCATACTAAGCGTACTGAAAAAAAAAAACAATTTTTGGCGAATATGTTATTAATTTCAGTAATTTAATACAAAAATTAAGGTAAAAAATGACACATACTAACAAATTGACAAATTTAATTAAAAATATGACATAACAATGCATTTTTTAATGTAAAAAATCTGTAATTTTTGTTTGAGTATTAATTACTGGGTAAAAATAGTAAAAAATATAGAACTTTACTAATTCAGTAAATTATAGCAGATGTTATCGCTTCCAAATTTTGAACACCAAGAATGAGCCTACTTATTTTTTGCACGAGGTCGTCCATGCCGGAAGTTGCCAAAGTTTCCATAGCGCGAATCTCGTGCAACATAGAGACCTGTGGGTATGTGGGTAGGTATGTAGCGACCTGACACACAAGGGTAGTTCACAGTGGTGCCATACCATAACAATGTGCAATGAAAAACATGAACTCTATGCTATCGGAGGTGTAAAATCATGTCGGTCATTATACTTGGACCAAATTTTTTTTCAAAAATGGGTCATTATAAGCGAAATGTCAATGTAAGCGAGGTCAACATATCCACATAAAATTATTTTAAATCTTATATATCGAAAAAGATATTTACATCTAAACAACTATACACAGATTGTGCATTCAACTTGAACGGTTTCAAGTTTATACCAAAAACTGCAAAAAAATTAAGTTTTATGAAGTCGAAAAATTATAATTTATCATTGAAATAATAATTTATATTATTTATATAATAAAAACAAATATATGCAAATGCACATTAATTAATTAACGTATTAATAATTTAGTACGAAATAATATTACAACGTAATTGGAACCACGTATTTCAGAAAATTAAATTTTGTATAGTCTGATTTCAAAATTGATGAAATTGAATAGTCCAATGTACAAAACTTATGCAATTTAACCAGATAACTGCAATTGACGGATATACTCGTCATGAAGATGTGGCAGAATTTTTTGTATTGACGAGTATAGTCGTCATACGAATAAAACTGTCACCATTTGCTATTTTAATTACATTTATTACATGAAAAGAGCTAAAAATATTATGAATGTTCATGTCCCTTAGAATATTCTGAGGCTATGACTGTACTAGGCTGTAGTTTTTTTTATATATATAAATAATTTAAATTATTATTTATAATAATTTATATATATATATATATATGTGTATATATACACATATATATATATATATATATATATATATATATATACGGGGTTTAACAACATACATAGAGAAATGTATGAAAAAATTCCAGAACACAATTTTGAATTTTATTACTTTTATATGTTACGAACACATTAACCATTTCAAAAACAAATGTTTTAAAAATTATTCATAAATAATTTTATAAAATTATATCTTGAATGAGGTAATTTATATAGAATATATTTTTGAAATTTTGGAAATTTTGCTTTTTATACTTTTTTATATTTTTTTTTATTTTCCAGGCGGAACCGATTATAAAAGTATTTTGAGGTATTGCTGCAGTTGTCCTAATGGATTAAGGACTGTTGGTTGCTGCTCCCACACTGCGGCAATTATATATTATCTGTCATTTGCAAGATATTTAGCACGAATTATTCGCCCGGCTGAAATATTATCAAAAATATTTATAACAGAAAGAAGTACAGTTTCTATTAACAATGATAGCGGCTACGATTAAAAGTGTCTTAATAACTTCGTAACTTAACTTCCATATTACTATGGTAAATATAGTGACTATTTATTTATGTATTTCTATCGTTATAAAATAATATACAGTAACAATATAAAATATAAAAAGCAAATAAAGTTTTAGGTATAATTTGAAAACAAAAAAAAACATTGTATATAAATATATAACCACAATAATTATATACAGAAATATATGAATAAAGAAGACATAAATGTATATATCTAGTTTTATTTTTTAAATAAGTATTACCTTTATATAGAATATGTTCCGATGCGCGCCAAGCGCAATGTGCACTGGTTTGCTATTGAGAGACGCAACTTACACGGATATTCTACGGGTTCCGCGTGTACTACCTTCGGTTTTTTCAACTTTTTATAATTTTTTCTATTTAAATATAATTTTGGATAATAAAAGTAAAATATACAGGCTTTAAAATGATGCTATTTAGAAAGTAGTCAAATTAACCGTACTGGTCGAAAATTTCAAATAAAAATTTATTTTCAACTTTTCATCCAGTAATTGACAATTTTTTAACATTATTCATTATAAGTAATATAGACAAGATCAGTACAAATGGAATGACGTAAACAGTTTTTAGATATCTATCATATTTCCGACAAAAAGTGAGTTTGAAAAAAGGGGCCACTTTCACATGTTTTCACTGATATCTCGGCCAAATGATAAGCTACTGATTTGAAATTTGGTATTTCGAATTTTCTCGAAAATACCTATAAAATGGCATCAAAATAATTTAAATACCAGGGTGGGGCCAATTCTGTATGGAAACACGCCCAGACCCTTTATAACTTAATTCATAAATTGATATCAAAACTTTGTAAATATTAAATTAAATTTGTAACGATATTAAATAAATAATTTCTGAATAAAAGGACTATTAGCCAATTGAATATTCTAAAGCATTAATTTATTAATATTGGGTTAATGTAAACAATTACGTTGTTTTCATGTTTCATCAACATCAGTTCAACATGCGATTAAACGCGTTACAAAAATCGCAAATGTCGCGTCAAAAATCGCAAATGTAACATTACTTGGCGCTCGTTTAACTTTCTACGCAACAAAAATGACAGCGGCGTGGCGATAGCTCACATCGCAGGCGCAATATTGTATCCACATTGTTTAGATGTAATTTTGTATACTGGGATATATATACATTTTGCCAAAAAAAAATCATCTTTTCAGAGGTAGCTCATTTTGATCTTGGCGGGTATGTAAACAAGCAAAATTGTCGCATTTGGGGCACAGAAAACCCGCACGCATACATTGGAAAGCCGATGCACCCTGTTTGGTGCGGATTTTGGTCCAGAGGCATAATTGGCCCATTTTTCTTCGAAAATGATCAAGGAGTGGCCGTTACAGTTAATGGCAATCGTTATCGGGCCATGTTGAACGAATTTTTGTTCACAAAAATTGAAGAGGAGGATATTGGCAACATTTGATTTCAACAGGACGGCGCTACGTGCCACACAGCCGAAGCTACACTCGATGTTTTGCGCCCTGTTTTTAAAGATCGCATTATCAGCCGCAGAGCTGATGTCGTTTGGCCACCTCGGAGCTGTGATTTGACACCGTTGGACTATTATTTGTGAGGTGCCGTCAAAGATAAGTGTTACGCCGACAAGGCAGAGACAATTGACGCTTTAAAGGACAATATTCGTGAAGCCATTGGTGAAATACAGCTGCACACAATCGATAATGTACTTAAAAATTAGACCGACCGACGAGGCAGCCATTTCAATGAAATTATTTTCCATTATTAACCGGAAGGATTGTACTTTGAAATAAAAAAAGACATTTGAGAAAATATTCAGTAGTTTGTTTTTTTATAGCATTCTCAAAAAAAAAGTTATTTGGCGAACCCTATATATAGAAAACATTGCTTAAAATTATTTTAGTAGTACTATTATAATCGTGGGATTAAGTTCCATTAGTGCAAAATTAGAAATCTGACGAAGAAAATAT